TCTGCCTCCCCGCCAAGAAACGATCGCGTGTGTGGCGCGCCCGTGTCTGTTGGAGCACGCCCTTCGCACGCGATACAAAAATTTCCTAATATACTTCGCAGATTAGGTTGCAACTATTACTCTCAAGGTTTTCTCACGAAATTTGTTTGCAAGTGTGCAAAAAAATTAAGAGTGAATAGTTAATTTCCTGAATTTTAACTTTTATGTCAATTTCTATGAAGTGATTTTAATGTTACCACATAACTCATCCAATCGGAAATTTTGTTATTAATTATAATTATTAGTATTGGAACTTCTAGCATAGTCCCTCAAGGATAAACTTTTACTGTGAATTTTGTTCTTATACCTAAATATAAATTTTCTAATATCCTAATAAATTTATTTAAAGAGCTGCAAAGAAATTATAAAATCAAAAACAGAACCAACTAATTAAGTACTCAAGCGTATTTTATTCTATAGACAGTTCCGTAACATAAGTTTTTATCCCCAATTGTAATAATTTATAAAACGGTCTCGCAAAACATTCGTAGTTTCCACATTCCTTGCAAAATCTTGTTATTTGCATCGTACAACTTCGTTTCATTGTTGAGCATGATATAGCTGCCCCATGTTGGTCTTGGTCCCATGTCCATGTGGAACATATGTGGGATTGTCCCATGACATGTCGCTAAAGGCGACTACTGGGATATTGGGTTTGTGATTGTGTAGGAGATGAGCTTGACTACTCTGTCACTTCTTTCACAACTTCCCATCTAAACCCATATTTTATGGCTAAACGTTGTCTGTCTCTTTGAGCACTGCCTACTCCTTTTGGGATAACAAAGCGTGTTGTTCTGTATGTGTGAATAGATGAAATCGAAAAATATTTTATTCAAAGGTAAAACCATAAGCGCATTATCGATTGTAAAATTTAATCAACGCTTTAGTTTAGAGAATGCTATTAACCTCGTTTTTTCGGATTTGAATGAATAAGATCGAAAAAGTATATAGAAGACAGGAAAATGAAAATTATTTTGTATGCAATTTCAATATAAAGAAATGGATTTGTGTTATTAGTCAGTAGAAATTAGCTTCATGCTGCTATGTTTCGTATGGTGAGTGTAGAGAACCGGAGACCCTTTTTACTGGAAAAGAGGCATTCTATCTTAGTCCTCACGGGTGACAACGCATCTGAATTTTGATTCGCAAACGAGGATAAATGTAGATGTCTATGGGCCACAGCAACCACTTACCATCAGGTGGACTGTGTGCTCTTTTGTCACCCTATCCTATAAAAAAAAAGAAATAGTGCTACAAATGTATAATAACATAAATTTTGCAAAAAAAAAATATTCGTATAAATATAGACATATTAATCTGCCTTATGAAAATTTTGCAAATGTATCCTCTCGTAACGTGTGTTTGGGAGAGGGAAAATTGAATGATGTGTTAATTTGTTTTGTCATGCGATGAGTACTAATGGCGTTAAGATTGAGGGGTTCCCACAATACAAGATTCAACACACTTTAGATACGTTAATTTATTATATTTTCAATTACATATATATCTAATATTTTACTTCAACCAGAAAAATTTTTCAACTTTCTTATATTTATTATGCTTATATTTATTTTATTTTAGTAACCGTATGGTCACCCACTAGGTGGATTCAAGACGTGGTAAAAGATGCAAGAAGTCGTAGTATGTTCCAGTTTCGTTATTATTTCTCTCTGTCTACACCCACGGGGTTCCAGATTCCCTTCGATTACTACTACATGGCTTATTTTTAAGCTTTAGGTTTAATTATCTATATATTATATATAAGAAATTCTCACATATGTACTGACTCATCACGATATCTCTGAAACTGTTGGCGACGCGCTCAAAAACTAGTTCGTCATTTGAAAAATATATTTTTTTTGAAACATATTTATTTTAAAATTATTGCTATAAGATATATAAAGCATTCCAAATAATAAGGTAATCTACGTTAAAAGTAAATAGATTCAATATAATTGTCAAACGAAAGTTCAGGGTTCGATTCCCCGGTCGATAGTTAATTTCACAAAAGTTTGTTTATAGATTAATTTAGAGGCATGTGTTACATAGCAATCGGCTATGTAATACGGATAAAAGTCTTGTATTAAATTAGATACTTATTTTAGATAAAAATATACTTCATTCTTATGATAAGAGATAAGATACTATTTCGAGCTTGGGGTTCGAGACAGTTAAAAATTGCCGAGTGATTTATCAAAATTGAACTTTAATTATAGAACACTAGTTACTATTCAAAACCACGCTAATAACAAAAACATAACTGTACTACTGATCACTTTAGTTCGCAGTTGTATCGCTTCGAAGTATTCGCTTTTATCTCCAACTCAACACGACTGGGTTGCGGTCTATACCGGCCTTATATAAGGCCTCAGATAATTTCCAGAACCTTCTACTATAGAAACATCTAGAATGTTCGAGTACATACCGGTCTCGACTGAGTAGGTGTCGATAGTTCTAGAGAGTTCTTCCATGGAAATTTCTAGACGAATGTTGACTCTCCTAGTTCTGCTACTCGATACTAGAGGGCGCTAGTGTTAACTAGTGTCGCCATGTAACATGCGTTAATTGTGGCACGCAACACTGCCCCCTCTTAAGACATGCTCGTCCCGAGCATTATTGACTCCATAATAACGCGCCAGTCGATCCACATAGACGATCTTAGGAGTACCTCTTGCACCTTTCTTATCCGGTAGGTTACGTCATTGATCCTTATCACAATCAGGTACGGTCAGTACCGTTTAGCTTGAAGCTTAGGAGATTTATTGTGCAACTACAATAATGAACCTTCGTCGAACCCTTTGTTGTACATTTTGCGGTCATACCGGGTTTTAATGTTTTCAGACATTTGCTATCTCGATTGTCTGACATGCTCATAAATGTTATTCATTTTGTTCCGCAAGTCATTTGCATAATAATCAGGTCATCAGGTGGTATTCTGGTGATCAGGTCTGCAGGCAGCCGTAATTCTCTTTCGAAGTTTGCAAAAGTTAGTGTCACTGATGTAGTTTTGTGAACATCGCTTCTACATGATAATAAAAACGGTTGTATGTGCTTGTCCCTGTCTCGTTGCCGATTTTCAACAACTTTTGCTAGAAACCTCTCCAATGTCTGATTAAATCATTCTACCATTCCATCAGATTGTATGTGGTAAGAAGTTGTTCTTGTTTTATGAGTACCCATATCTCGGCAAGTTTCCTGGAATATTTGAGACTAAAAATTCCTTCCGTGATCGCTTACAAACCTCTAAAGATACTCAAAAAAGACAGAAGAATTCTTGAACTAGTTTATTTGCAGCTGTTGAAGCTTCTTGATTTGGAATGGCGAAGACTTCTGGCCACTTAGTGAAGTAATCCATCACAAACATGAAATACTTGTTACCACATTCACTTTCCGAAAACAGACCCGAAACGTCAAGGGCTAACCTCCCATGATGAATCAACATTTTACAATTTCAATTCACCTCTACTACGAGTCTGAAATCCCTTTACAGTCGTACAACTTCTACATTTGCGACACCAGTCCTAAACATCGTCACGACAGTGGACCCAGTAAAACCTTTCTCGGATCTTCAGTAGAGCTCGTGTAACTCCCAGATGCCCTCCCGAACAACCATTATGGTACAGCTGTAGAACATCCGGTACTTTAGCTATAGGGAAAGAAAGAGAAGGCCAAATTGCCCTCTAAAAAGCTTGGCGTGCTCAGAAGATTGAGACAATATTTTATGCCGGCACATCGCTTGCAGCTTTACAAAGCGCAAGTTCGGCCTCACACGGAATACTGTTCTCATCTCTGGGACGGGGTACCCCAGTGCCAGCTCCTTCCACTTGACCGCATCCAACGCAAAGCGTTTCGAATCATCGACGATCGAGTTTTTTCTGATCGGCTCGATACACTGGAGCTGCATAGGGATGTTGCATCCCTTTGCATTTTCTATCGGATTTACTACGGGGAGTGCTCTGAGAAATTGTTCGGATTAATTCCAGCCGCCAAATTTCACGAACGCAAATTGCGTCAAATTTCACGATACTATCCTCACTATTTGGATGCTTGGTGGTCCACGACTGTGCATTTTACTAGAAGTTTTCTTCCTCGTACAACTTCTCTGTGAAATTGTTTCCCACCGGCGATTTTTCCGGACCGATACGACGTAGGGACCTTTAAGAAAAGAATTTCCACCTTTTTAAAAGGCCGGCAATGCATCTGAAATTCCCCTGATGTTTCAGTTATTCATGGGTGACGGTAGTCACTTATCATCAGGTAAGCCACGTTTGCCACATCTTCTATATAAAAAAAACAACCATTTACAAAATGACAACTGTTTCCCCGACCATTTTCCCATTTACAGGACATGACTCCATCCTGAATCAGCAAGATTTCCCATTTGGCGCAATAGCTTTTCCTGGTCGAACTCATCGCTGAGACGTCGCTCCACTTGGGATTAGAAGCACTGGCCTTCATCCATTCCAGAATCGGCTTGATGTATGAATCTTCGTGCTCATTGCTGAGCTGTTCTGCCCTGAGCATCCTCACAGATACCACTTCCTTACCCTCTTCTCTAGAAAAATGCTTGCAATCTTCAAGACAAGGTCTTCTTAAAAATGAATCTGTGTTGCCATGTGATTTCCCGGTTTGATTTTCGATCACAAAGTGGTATTGCTGCAGTAGTTGAATCTACCTCGCAACTTGTGCTTATGGATTTTGAACTGCAATAGCCATTTCAGTGCAGCATGGTCAGTTTGTAAGTGAAATTTCCGCCCCAGAAGATATTTGCTAAAATGCTGCAACGGCTTAACCACATCAAGCTATTCCCGTCTTGTGACACAATAGTTCCTTTCCGGCTTTGACAAAGACTTGTTAAAGTACGCTATCACAACCTCTTGATCACCATTTCGTTGAGACAACACACCGCCGAGTCCTATATCATTAAACTATATAAATTCCTTGTCCGCATCAGGGTACTCCTAAATAGGTGTTTTGCACAGAAGGTCCTTGAGCTCCTGGAATGCGATATCGCAACTTTCATCCCAGCAGATATGTCGCTTCTCCTTGGTTAGCTTGTGCAGAGGTTTGGCTATATCTGCAAAATTCTTCACAAATCGCTGATAATAGGAGCACAAACCCAAATATTCTCTAATCTGCGTCTTGTCTTTTGGAACTGGCCAATCCTTGACATAGGCAATTTTCTCTGGATCCGTGCGGATACTTTCTTCCGACACTACATACTCCAAAAAGCTAACTTTCAATTTGATTAGTGAACATTTCTTCGGACTCAACTTGAGGTTGGCACTCTGGATATTCATGAGCACGCGTTCCAGGTTTTGAAGGTGTTCCTCAAACGTACGGCCTACGATGATGATATCATCCGAGTAGACCAGACAGGCATCGCCAATTGGCCCGGTAGGTACCAGCCCCATCAACCTTTCAAACGTTGCTGGAGCATTGCACAATCCAAACGGCATGACTTTAAATTGCCACAGAACCTTTCCTGTCGAGAATGTATTTTTCTCCCTGTCTTTGGTGTCTATTTCAACCTGCCAGTAGCCACTTTTCAGGTCCAGCGTGCTAAACTACTTTACTCCTGCAAGTATGTCCAGCAAGTCATCAATTCTTGGCAGGGGATAGCTGTCCTTCTTCGTAACATCGTTCAGACAGCGGTAGTCAACATAGAACCACATGCTGCCGTCCTGCTTCTGTACCAGAACCACAGGTGAACACCATAGACTAGATGAAGTTATAGTAACACCATCCTTCACCATTGCTCCAATCATGGTTTACACTTCCTTTTCACTTTACTTCACTTTTTGCTACCGGCAATCTTCTTGGGTGCTGACGGATAGGCAAATATTCTCCTGTGTTTATTTTATTACGCATTCTTGGTTTTTACTCGTTTCCCTGCTGCTGCTGCTGGGCGGTGCTGTTAACTGAACTACCTACTTGAGATAGATCACCTCCCCTTTCTACAGTTCACTTAGGCTGCAGCAGCCCCTTTCCCCACGGCGGTAGCAGCTAGGGCCGTATCCTTTATTGCGGTCGCGAACTGTAGCTACTACAATCTCCCTGAAGCGAAGGGAACGATGATCCTGCCACACAGCTTCCAACTCCAGTAGATCGGCCAAGGCGTCCTTAAGTGTCTCGTGGTTCCCGAGCCTCGCAGCAGCTCTGAATTCAAGGTCGCGGATGCCGTCCTCCGGGCCGGCCTCCGTGGTCAGCATCTGGCCCTTCGACGGCTTCGACATTGCACCACCAAATCGTCTCTGGTCCGTCTCCTGTTGGCGTTGACTTTTGGTATAGATACCCTCCGTGTCGTCTTTAAATAAAATCGGCGTCATTTGATCCCACCTCTGACACGAATCGTTACGAGTTTGGGGTTCGAGACAGTTAAAAACTACCGAGTTAATTATCAAAATTGACTCTTTAACTACAGAACACTAATTATAACTTAAAACCACACTAATAACAAAACACAATTGTACTACTGATCACATTAGTTCGCAGTTGTATCGCTTCGAAGTATTCCCTTATATCGCCAACTGAACACTGACTAGGTCGCGGTCTATACCGGCCTTATATAGGGCCTCCGATACTTTCCAGAACCTTCTACTCTAGAAACATCTAGAATGATCTAGCACATACCGGTCCCGACTGACTAGGTATCGATAGTTCTAGAAAGTTCTTCCATGGAAATTTCTAGAAGGATCTTGACTCTCCTACTTCTGCTACTCGATACTCAAAGGCGCTAGTGGTAACTAATGTCGCCATGTACCATGCAATAATTGTAACGCGCAACAATACATAATGGCTAGATAAACAAACAATTTTACGTAATAAACAGAGATAGTTGTTATTTAGGCAAAGAAAGCAATAGCCTCCTACTAATATGATAAGGGTTGTGCACAGATTGGTTGTTTATGTTGTATGGAATTAAAAAAAATGTACTATAAAAATAAAAAACAAACTTTATCAATGTGTGAAAGTTTCAGTAATATGTGAAGAAATAAGTACTTAATATGTCTTTATGTGATAACGATGTAAGGTAAGTGCTGTGTTGACACGCTTGTTCCGCCTCTCATTCAAGACTATAGTGCCTAAATCTTGGAAGCTGGCCAATGTGCAGCCTGTGCCTAAGAAAAGTAGCCGTGTCGACCCTGCCAACTATCGGCCAATTTCAATTACTTCCATACTCTGCAAGATTATGGAACGTATATTGAACGCCCACCTTATGGCATACCAAGAGCAAGATGATCTCCTCAGTGATCGCCAGTACGGGTTTCGCCGAAATCGATCAACTGGGGACCTTCTAGCATATGCCACTCACATATGGGGCGAAGCCCTCGAAAGCAGTGGTGTAGCACTTGCTGTTGCCCTCGATGTCTCGTAGGCCTTTGACAGGATTTGGCACGCTAGTCTATTGGGCAAGCTTTCAGCGTACGGCTTATCCCCTAGCCTGATCGTCTGGATGAAGAACTTTCTGAGTAAACTGTCTCTCCGGATCGTCGGGGGATCTCTCCGGGCTGCTCATTCGATACTGTGGTGACTAACGCCGGTGTTTCTCAGGGGTCCGTTCTCTCCGCAACTCTCTTCCTGCGGCATATAAATGATCTGCTCATTATCGGTATCTATGGGTATGCTGTCGACAGCACAGTTGTGGAGAGATACCAAACAAGCGCCCGGGTCAGTCGGGATCAAATCCAGTCTGAAAGAGAGGCTATGGTTGAGCCTGTAAGTCTCACACTACAGGCAGTCTCCGAATGGGGCGATGCCAATCTCATGAGATTTAACGCCTCCAAAATACAAGCGTGTCTTTTTAACGCTAAAAGGAGCCCGCTCATCTTGGCTCCTACTTTCCGGAATGTATCCTTGGAGTACACTGACCGCCTTCAGTTGTTAGGATTTGAATTTTCTCCGAACCTCAACTATGGGCGGTTCACATAATGATTTCTTATATTTACGCGAACACTACACATTTATTATATTATATTCCCGACCGATTCGTCGGAAATATAAAATAACTTAATTAAACGCGATAAAATCCGTAAAAGTAGTTTTATTCAATATGGGCGGTACATTGAGTCCAGAGCCAAAGCAGCCGCAAGGAAACTTGCTGTCCTTGCAAGGGTGCGGCGGTAGTTCACGCCGGGGCAGCTTCTTACTTTATATACAGCGCAAGTCCGGTCGTGCATGGAGTACTGCTGTCACATATGGGCTGGTGCTGCAAAATGCCACCTGGCAGCATTGGACTCAGTGGAGAGACGTGCTAAGAGGCTCATTGGTGACCATGATTTGGTTGAAACCAATCTTGTTAGCCTCGAGCAGAGGCGCAGAGTATCCATCCAGTCTCTCGTTATTCTATAGGATGCATTTCGTGTGTGCGCAGTAATTACACGCTTTAATTCTTCCCTCCCCTTTCCATCATCGGACAACAAGACGGTCGACAGGTCTTCATCCATTTGTTGTCGACATCTACGCATTAAAATCAAACGGTTTGCTTCGTCTTTTGTAATGCGTACAGCAAAGGAGTGGAAGAATTTGCCAGTATCTATCTTTCCACCCGACGAGTGCTAACCTAGCACTTCCCACAACCTTTTTATTGCGAAAGCGGTAGGCAGTGCACCTAAGCGTTGCAGTCACCCTTCCCACTAACCGCGTCGCGCGTCATATCGCTGTCGGCTCGCTAGGTAGGGAAAATAGATAGGACAGTCCCAACTGGGGTCCACAATGCGCCACCTAAATCACCGTCCCCATCGAAGCAACCCCCCCCCCCGTCACCCGTAATACCAATGGAAATGGTAGAACCCGTAACAACAAGGGCAATCACCGGGGTGGCTCTACAGCCCCCCGCTAACGACGCCACAGAGCGTCAGCCCTTCAAGAAGAGGAAGCGGGGGAGAAAGAAGAAGAAGGTGCAGCCTCCTCCTTAGGCAGCAACCTCTACCCCAACCCCAGCGGTAAAGATAGCCTCACAGGCGCGGGTTACCAATAAGGAAATAAGGATCACCACAGACGGTAGAGCGCCAGAAAGGGCTCTATCAGAAAATAGAGCCCACTCTACTCATAGAGCGCGCTCTACCGTAAGGAATGAGACTAAAGCCCAGCCGAGACCAGTATCAACTACAACACCTAGACAGCCAACAGCCAACCAAAGCACCATGGACGCAATCTAGAGGCTGGTTGGCATCACCATCGAGGTTGGCAGCCAGGTCTTGGCTAACATCAGAGCTGGAGCCGACCCAATTACTGCAGTGATGAGAGCGCTTGCATAAATACTGACTCGGCACTACGGAGGTGAGTAACATGAATCTGCGCCTGCTCTACCGGAACTCGGACGGTATCCAGTAGAAGCTCCATGAACTCTGCACTGTCGCTCAACATCAGGACCTACATATTATCTTGCTGGGAGAGACAAAGTTGAGACCATCTACGCATATCGAGATGCCCAACTATCACATATACAGGAGGGACGAAGTCAATGCTCCAGTAACCACCTATAGAGGCACAGCGGTTCTAGTGATCGGGTGGCGGGATGGATCCCCAGGCATCCAGAATGATCACCCCGCCGGGTCGTGAACTCTACAAAGACGCTCAGCTCACCTCAAAAAAATCAGCTGACCACAGGAGAAGTCCGGATGTATTTGAACATCATGCTCGCTAGGAACGTCAACTGCCCGAACAGTGGTAGAGGTGCTGTACGACCGAGCTCACAGCACCTCCCAATTCTAATTACCCCTTAGCCCCAAGGCGATGACTACGCTGCCCAGAGCTTTTAACACCAAGATTGACTGAAGGCTCTGGCAGCAACAATTGCAGGAGAGACCTTCAGTATACACTCCAATTAACTAAGCGGACAACATAGAGGCCGCTGCTACCAGAATATCAACAACCATCCAAAAAGCCTTCAACGCGGCCTCTACGATCGTCCCTCTAACCAATCGTAGAGACGATCTGCCGCGAGAGTTACGTGCGCAGCTCACCCAATAACAAGCTCTGAGGAAGCTCTGGGCACGCACTCGCTGCCCGAGAATAAAGACTCAACTAAAGAAACTGACGGATAAGCTGTCCAGTTGCAATCCAGGCCCACAGAGGAAAGGCCTGGGAGCGACGCATATAGAAGCGTCACTCTACAAATTGAACCGGCAGCTAACTAAGACCAGCCCCCCGTCTGCCCGCTGATCAACAACGCGGGCGGGCGTTGTTACGAAGCCAAAGGTAGAGCGGATATCCTAGCCAAGCATATCGAGGGGCAATTTATGCCGAACCCAGCAAGTGCGGAGTACATGGAGCTTCATGCCCAGAAAGAGCGCCGCGTACGGGAGTTCCTGCCGTCGCTCGCGCCTCCGCTTCCAGGAGAGTGGTTCTACAAGGTGTGGTACTCTGGACTACTCTTCAAGATGATACAAAAAACGAGTGTCCCTCTGGCTATGCTGTGGCTAGTGGCGTCATTTTTAGCCGACCGGAGCTTCTACGTCTGTGTCGAACATGCCGAATCCGCAGTAAAACCCATAAGAGCTGGCGTACCACAGGGAAGCTTTATTTCACCGATTCTGTAGGCGGGTTAGACAAATAACATCTCAACGCTGGCAGGACACCTACGCAAATGGTAGGAAGACGTAGAGCTGGCGCTATATGCGGACTATAGCACCTACTTCACCTCGTCCAGAAGATCCGCCGCTACAGGAACTTATCGCCCCCGTCGACGCTAAGAGGCCTGGAGATAACGTGTGAGAAGGCTGTGACCTATCTTGGGTGCTGGATAGATAGGATGCTGCGTATG